CCTCTCCTTGAAGCTGCCCTCCAAGCTCGTGGAGTCGGCTTGGTCTGTGTATTTTTTCTGAAGGGAACTTCTCAGTATACTTGAGAGAGCCCGGCTTGCAAGGAGTCTGGTTCAGACCCTTTAGAAATCAGAGTTTTCCATCGTCTCAAATGGTCTTTTGTACATGACCCTTGGAGAGGCAGTGAGCAGACAATGTTTGAGATAATGATGGGGATGTTATCCCGAATAGTGTCTGGAGCCCTTCTCAAATTTTATGGTGCCTGGATGGCATGAGGACACACAGCCACAAAGGGATATAAGCAGTCAGGTGTACGGGAAAATACTGTATTCACCGCATTTGCTGGTTTTGGATAGATGAACCCCACACAGTTCATCTTATACTGTTTCAGATCTGTCTTCTGATACTTTGCTGACTTTTGACTTGGATTGCACGGTAGATGGCACTATAAAGCAATGGTTTTATTCATATAAATCTATAAAACATCACCATTCAGAACTCTTAATTACATTCTAATATGGCTTCCTCTTGTAGGTCCCCAAAGTGAAGGAAAAACTGTGAAATGCAGAAATGGTTGTTTGTAGCTGCAAATGGGAATTTGGAATAACGATGAAAAACACACTGAAATAATCGTGTTTGACTGGAACAAAATTCTTGAAAAGTCCCCAAGGTAAGACACTATTTTATCTTTGGACTAGACGACAAAGATTTGCCATTCTAGTTAGCAACAATACACATTTGAATACAGCTGAGGAAACTAGCTAACAATTAGATGAAGACTTAATATTTGGCAGGGTCATCCTGTTAGCATTCTCGCAGCAGGTTGCAGGTCCTCCCGCTCAGTTCAGTTTTCTTCCTCTTTATGAAGAAGAAACTATCATGTAAATACTACTAGCTACTAATCCCACTTGCTCTGGCTTCACAATGAGCAGTCCATTACTTCACGTAGACTGGGGCCAGTAAGGGGTGAATGAAGCCCGGACTGCAGTTTCTCAAAGTGAAGTGCCCATCTTTGTCACGTGGTCTGCATTTGCACTTGAGCAGTGTAAAAGGGTGCTGGTGCAGAGTAAGGATAAGGCTCTTGTGACCTGTGTTGCTGTAGTTTGTGCTGTGTAACAGTCCTACAAGGCAAGGTCCAAGGAGAGCTCAGTGTGTGCTGGTGTGGCTGAACCTTTTTCAACCAAATGTATTTTTTCTCTAGTGTAGAAGAGCGCACGTTCTTAAACCCTGTTTACAGCAGACTCCTTGACTGCTAGTTTTTATTACTACAAAGTGCTCTGGTTGGTGTTTTGGGCATGGCCAACTTTCTTATTAGTGCACAAACAGAGAATGAAATCCTTTTGTAATGTGGGAAAAGAAGATTAGGCCAAGGCCTTCTAAATGAGAAAACACAGGATCTGTTTTGCTTGGTTTGTGTATGCACTATACATCTGAAGTGACTTGGAAATGCTTCCTCTGGTCATGACAGCAGGTCTGTCCATGGCATGAAGTCTCCTTTGCATATATATATATATTTTACACTATCCAAATACTCAGCCCTTTGAAGGACCTGATTAGCTGGACAGGGTTGGGTACTTCAGAGTCCTCTTTGAAACTGCAAAAGGACTTGCTTATTGGAATATCAGTTGAAATCTAGAACACCAGTAATGTTTCAAGGTGTTTTTTGGTGATGGTTTGGTACAAATATTCGTACCCAACATAGACTCTTCCAAATCCCAGCCTGCTGGTTAGCTGTAGACTGGAGCCTCTGCTATGAAAAGAGTGGTTAGTTCAAATGATGCACATCCACAAATTATTTTTAAAACACATTGCTATGTTCCCACTTGCAGTACGGGCTGAAAATATGAAATATTATGATGTATCTTAAGAATTCAAGAGCACAGTGCCTCCTTGAGCACTGAAACAATAATAAATCATCATAAATCAATTTAAGGAAATGATCAGATTACCTTTCCACATGATGAATGCTACTATGGAAACTGGGTGGGGAGTTACTTGCAGGAGTCGTCAGTGAAAGGGCTGAGAGTTGCTTGTCTGAATGGGAAACAGGAACTTTTGAGACTGAAACTGGCCCTGATACTGCCAGCCTGGTCCCATGTAGCCATGTCCTTACTCTTTGAATAGTCCTCTTGATTTTCCTGAAACTACTTATCAGAAATAATAGGAATCAGGCCCCTGCATTGCATCAATATATGAGGAACAATTATACACCGCCCCTTTATATTATATAATGCTCGCAAAGCCAATGCAGTCCAACCTTGCACAAGTACTCAGCAGCTCCCCTTCTTTTCACTGGCAGCTCCTGGATGTTGAGCATTTATGCGGCTAGGTAGGAGTTGACTGTCTTTGGAAATCTGGCCCAAAATATATTAAGTCACGGATGCATATTTTTTGTTAGCGTGCTCTGCATCTGTGGCAGAGGTAGCTGAAAAATAAGAACAAAAGCAAGATTGTGTGTGTGCCTTGTAATATTTAAATTTGTGCATGCAAATCTGGTATTAAACGGTTATCACCTTGAATTTATAGAAACATAACAGTCGCATGATAACTGGCATGCACACACACATGCACACGCATACATGTGTGGATAACCATGGTAACACTTCTAATTATGAAACATGCTTAGTAAAGAATTGATCCTAACCAAAGCGTGAATTTGATTTTGGTCAGCGTTATCTTGGAAGAAGCCATTTTAATTACTTTTTAGCTTTCCCTTCCAAAGCATTATTTTCCCTTTATTTCCCAGTTATATTGTTCTCTCACTTAACTGCTTCCTTTTCTGCCTCCAGGATGAGATTCTGTGCCAAATCAATGCTTCTATCTCACTGGCTTTTTCTGGTCTATGTGCTAATGGTGTGCTGTAAATTGTTGTCCGCCACTAGTCACCATCCCCGGGGGCACACAGGTAGGAGCTTTTAAACTCATTAACCGCTACTGAGACCAATTAATAACAGTCGCTGAATGTTAGAGTCCACTTTTTAGCAATGGATAATTGATGAAGCTGTTGACAGTGTGATGTTGGCAGCACCATGGGTTAATAAACACCAACCAAGAAAGAGTTTTATTGTACAACTTCATAGGGTTTTATAGTAATTTTATGGGGTGCCGTCGACAAGGCAGGTCTTGGAATGACGTCTCCACCGGTAAGACTGTGAGATTTGTTCTTGTCACCCGGCTTGCTTCTTTCTTTGAGCCTTGCACAAAAATTGTCCATAAAGTCACTGTTCTGAAATGTGGCTGTAATTTTCATCTTTGGTTTAGGTCCTTATTGGGTACCCATTGGTACTGATGGAAAGACTCATTGGGGTTTGAATAAGGTTGGGTAGCCTCATGCTCCTTCCATTATTACCCTAAATCCATCCTTATTGCCTCAGTCCTTTGTTACGTGCAGAGGTGTTAGACCAAACCCACTACTTAGCTTTGTGCTGTCCATAACCTATACCATCAATAATTCCCACCATGCAGCCATCAATTCATAGTTCTCTGATGTTTTGAAGCATGCTTACCACATTGCCATGTGTCATCTTTAAAGTATGGATTGAGTCATGATTTTTTTTTGAAAAGCAGCCTTTTTTTCAACAAAAGGAAAGGTGTCATGCTTATCTTGATACATTGAGGAATGAGATTTAATTTAAAATGAAAACCTGTAAATGTTACTTAATTTTAAATACTGTAGGCCAGAGCCTGAAATGGGTGAAAATCAATATAGCTCCTTTGCTTTCAGTGGAGATATGCTAATTCCCACTAGGTAAGGATCTGGCCGGCTGTGTGTGGCTGGTGTAAATCAGATTGGAAAAGGAAGCAATGTTGTTGGTAAGATAGGGGTCAGAAATGCTAGGTACTGGTTCTTGCACCAGCAGGTAGATGGTCATGCGGCTGGGTAAGATGTACCTGTGATAAGATACGTTGGAAAATGTTCTTGCTTATGTCTCAGCAGTAGCACACCCAATTACTCCAGTTAATGAAATATTATGGGATGGTCTAGCACCACTTTCTCCCATGGTGGGCCTTCCTGGAAGCAGCTCAAGTCACTTTATTGGGCAACAAACAACCTCAAGTCAACTGCCACCTTGTCCTCTCGTGTAAAAACTATTCCCGAGCAGGCTCGTTGACAGCTTGGTTGAATTTCCTGTTTATGAATATAACACAATTAGGTAGCAGAAAACACACTTCCATAGGTGGTGTCATTCAACCAAAATAGATGAAAGTAAGTGTTGTTTTTCTCTTTTTAAAATGCACTTTGCAGACATCGCTAAGGCAAATGCCTCCGACAAGAAGAGGGTATCTTCCATTATGTGCATGCATGATGAATGTTCATGACACGCAATGCAATTATAGCACTCTTTGCACTTGATATTTCAGAATGCTTAATTGCATCTTTTTAGTCGACTCAAACTTCTTTCCCCCTGTTTCTAAGCAGGTATGATAAAGTACGGGCAAAACTACTGGGTAATTAATCAGCTCCCGCTTGCAAGGATCAGTCTCATGTCAATCCTAGACGTTCAACTACAGCATGATAGATTTCTATTTTGCTTTTTATGATAAATTGGGCTAAATTTGGGGGTTCTTATTTGGGCAGCATTCCCGTGGAGCTGGGCTTTGGCCCTTTACAGTGTATGGTCTTGCAGAAACGAAACAATCTTATTCAATTGGCATTGAATTGCTGACCAAATTCTTAGGTGGAAGTTAAGATAACATCTCCTCTCAACACAATGCTTTCAAAGCAGCTGGGAGTTGTCAATGGCTGAGGCACCCGGAGGGCACAGCGACCTTCTGGTCAGCACGTATTTCCTCCTTCGTCACGTAGCTGCGGCATGACAGTGAAACGCAGGGCCAGGGAGTATGTGTCATTCAGAAGACCCGATGGGTTTCTTGGCACCATGTCCCCATGTCTTCCCAACCCTACATGACATACAGGAAGCTTCTCACCAGCACTCCCTGGGGGGTAGCTTATTTCCCCCAAATGAATTTGTCTAGAAACATTTGTTGGAAAGGGAAGGTCTCTACTCCGTTATACCAGAATTTTGCTTTAGTAGCTGACCTTCCATGTTTTGCCTGGAGGCAGAGGTAATCGCAGCCCATCTAATAAACGTCTAATACGTCTAATAACCACTGACATTTAGAATAAGGCCAAGGACTTGCTGCTCAATCCCATCTCAAAGTTTGGGTGCAGATTTTCTTTGCTTTTTATGTTTCCTTAGGCCTTGATACCATGCTACCAGTGCCATGCAGGGCCGGTTTTGGGGCTGGGATCAATGCAATGGCTGCATCGGTGAACCCTGAGTGTGTGATGTACAGGAGGGTTGGGGACTGCCAAAGAAAAAATGTTTAAACTGGAGCTGCCTACATTATAGGGGAAGCCGTGTTCAGATGGCAGCTTATGTCTGACCCCGGCAGGTGGAGAAGGCTTGGAGCTGAATGGCTTGGTCGATTGGCATGGAAAGTGGAGTCTCAGACTCTGGCTCTGACTGCTCCTGTGTTGACCCTTCATCTTCCCCCTTCAGTTTTGGTGACGTCCAGTTGGAAAGTAGTGCAGGACCCACGCTCCGATGCCTGGCATCTTTCTACGACCGCTCCATAAAGCAGGGTGCTCTTCAATCTGGGTTTCACAGGGGCAGTGATTTATAGAGAATACCAGCGCAAGCTTCTATTTGCAAACCATGACGGGCCGAGGATGTGCTGGCATTGATAGGCCACTTTCTGGGATTGCACCAGCATCCTGCTTTTTGTGTTCTTTCAATGGGGAAGATGGATATGTGTAAAGACTCGGTGCATGTAAAACCCATCTGAATGAATAATGCAGGCGTGCATTTGGTATCAAAAACAAAGACTCCCTGCTGCTGCTCCTGCTCCTTGCCTGTCGTGGCTCATGGAAGGAAGCAGCATCTTTTCAGAACATGTTATTTTTTCTGCCCTTCTCTCAATGCTTTCCCTGTAGGTGTTAGTTTAGCCTAGAAGGGGGACCATCAAACAGAGCTCGTGGTCTGTCACACAAGCAAAAAAACCTCCTGTCATGTACTTGAAGCGAGCTTTGTGAGCGGATGGGCATGGGGCAAAGAGCTATCGCGGCTGGATTGGCAGCCTACCTCTGGCAAAGGCAGCGCAGGAGTGGCATGCAAAATCCTTTCTTTAGCAAATCCTTTCCTTGTTCCGCAGGGGCCAAAGCTGAACAAACCATCCTCCCTGCAGCGGGGGAAGAAAAAGCAAACCAGGAGTGTGCAGGCAGAGAGGATGATGCATCTCTCTAGTGTGGTGGCTCTCAAACTTTTTAGAGTCAAGGCACTTGTGGATAGGCTTGAGGCCCCCTCGGAAAATGCCAGCTCTTAGTTTTCTCTTGTTTTTTTGATGACAAAAAAATAACGGAGCAATTTTCCTGTGGGTGGCAAAGAACTCAGACACCCAACAAAGCAGAGCGTTTGTAATGCTATGAATTTCTGTGTGCAATCTCTGGGATTATTTTGTGAGTCGTGCTTGCACACTTAATAGTGCTACTGCTGCATTGGACCCCATAGTAAAAGGATTTCAAGGCACCCTGGGGTGCTGCAGCACCCTAGTTGCCCATCGCTGCTCCAGGGGTTAGGTCATGGGCTCCTACAGCTAGCAGGGTGTGGGTGCATCACGTACGGAGATAGGGGTTATTTGTTCAGGGCAAGGGGAAGAGCAGGGTGACAGCACTTTTGGGAAAGAGGAAGGGTGTTTGGCATTTGGACGCTGTCTGGTGGATCGAGGAAGCTAAGAGGTGTGCGAAGGCTTTTTGTTTCCCAGGGCAAAATAGAGGATTTTGAGCTCTCACGGCAGATATCATTTGGCCTGTTGAGGTGCCTTGTGAAGCAG